TCTCATTCACCAAACAAAAAATTTCCACTTAAATCATTTCAATTGATTACAACCAATTTCCAATACAAAATTCCAATAGATACTATAGTTGATTTGATTGACAAGACATGAGTTTAACAATGAGAGGTAATTCCCCCCTATAAATAAAGAAAGATGACCCCCTCCAAAGAAAAAAAAAAGCATTGACAACTTCACTCCTTCAATACAAACACGTATTTGAAGGTCATTGTCAATGAAGAAAAATTTTCCTACTTTAAATTTGGCTCGAAATTTATTCCAACCATTTTCGAGGTCAATATAGACCATAATCCACATTCTAGAAAAACGCAGCTACTTTTTTAAGTTTAATAACTTACTGTAGGATAAATAAAAGCCAATGATTTTGACATTTAAACTTAATTAAGCTTAATTAAACTTGATAAATACACTACCGATTTACGATTATGTTTAACGTTATATTATTTATTTTATATTGTTTTGTAATACTAAAGTGACAAGTAGCATGTACAAGTTCTGAAATCATTGGGAGTTCTAAATTCGAATGAAGAATTTTTATTTATTTATCTTGCTAGGACTTGATTTTTTGTTAATTTAACAAAATTAGCTCATATCTGGTCCAATTTTTAGCCACACATTTCATTGAACACACAAGTTTTGTTCATTTTTTAATTATAAATTTCATGGGATCCAAAGCTTATAATATCAAAAGATGGACCAAACAAGAGCTTAGTTATTATACAGTTACTATTGAAAAAAAAATAATAATTATTAAACATGTGGGTTACAGCCTTAAATTGTTAAAAGTAATTAAAAGTCAAGGTCAAGATATGTCCACTCTAAGAACCAGACACAGAAACATAGAATCTCGTCTAGTCAAACCAGAAGACTACTCAGCGGTTCAAACAAGTCAAGGTCAAGATATGTCCCTCTTAAGAACCACAGACAGAAACATAGGATCTCATCTAATCAAACAAGAAGAGTGCTCAGCGGTTCAAAAATGATAAATACTGTTTCTCGTTAAAAAAAAATGCTTTTTTTTTCCAAAAAGGAGATTGCAAAAGTATACAAACCACACATCGTGCATGGGTACGTCTTGTGTTCAACAAGTCTTGTAAATAATTGATAAAATTTTCATATTTTTTCGTCTTTAGCCCTTGTTTGGCCCCCATTAAATTACATTACATTTACATTAAATTTTTTTCTCTCTTCATTTCTACCACACATTCATCAAATAAAATAATATTACACACAAATCAAAAAAATTTCAACCACACATTCTCCCATCAATCACTATTCTAAAAATTTTAAACCCCCCAAAAATGCAAAATAATGAAGGCCAAACAGGGGGTTAATTTAGTCATATCAAATATATTTTGTGAATCGTAGCTCATTAAAATATAATTACAATGGCCTAACATGTTGTGAGAAATTTAGATTATTTGATCTTAGAGAATTTTGTGGAATTAATAAACGTCAATTCGATTGCTCGAGTTCAAGATGAGCCAATTGTTACTTAGGAGTGTATTCAATTGTGATTTTTAAAGACTTTGATAAAAAAAAAAATTTGAGTGGTGATTTCAATTGAATAAACGGTTGAAAATAAACTTTGACCATTTATAAATTAATTTATAAAATTTACTAAATAGAGGCTTACTATTCGTGTAAATCTTTTTTTCTAAAAATTAAAAAGTTGTTGAACCTGATAATGTGCCCAATTTGATACCAAAAATATCTCGAGTCTCATTTAATTTGACGGGAAATGTTTGCCATGGTCAAAAAAATGAAGAGTTTATTTTACAAAGCTTTTTGATAAAAGTTTTAGCAAAATTTTAATAAAAATTGATGAAGTATATGATTAAAAAATTAATAAAAATTATGAATTTCATGAAATGTATTTAAAATTAATTTTCATCTTTAACCTTAACTTTGTAACAACTTGTTAAGGTATCCTTGGAAGCACTAAGAAAAGGAGAATTTTTTTTATAAAATCATTTTTTAGCTACAGTTACATTATGAATGTTTTCATTTTGTTCGTTGTTTTCAAAACCTATCCAACCCAACCCACGTCCAGCCCTAGTAAAACCTGTTAAATAGATTATATCATGATCAAAATAAATATATATTCAATAAATCTAAATACATGTTGAATACCTACATATTATACCTACTAAATAAAATAAATTCAACCTAAATACTAAAAATGTTAAATCATCTTAACTCAATATAAAATCTCCTCCTTCAATCCAAGTGCTTAGTCAAAAATCACGTCAAAAATTGAGTTGAGAAGCTGAGACACGAGCAACAATGAAAAATCACAAGACATGAGGCATATGAGAATTTTTATCATTAGGTTTTTGGTTTTAATTACTAATTTTATTTTTTATATTTTTTAATTTATTGAGTTAGGTTGTGTTTGATTGAGTTTTAATAGATAACTCGGAATCTAATACAACCTGGCCTAAATTTTGATTTCTTAACCCGAACTCAACCCAATTGAATTAAAGAACCAATCCAAATCGGTTGGTTTGGGTTGGATTGATCGGTATGACTGGTTCAGATTGATTTTTGCCCAACCATATCCCGAATCATTAAAATATTCAAGAAATAAAAATTTATTTTCGCAGTGGTGAATAACTTGTCAAAGGGTAAAATATATAGAAAAATTAAGATTATACTCCCTAATCTTTTATTTAGTGTGATTTTAAGTTTTCAACCTTCAAATATGAGTATTAGGTACCCAACACCTTGAATATGAAGATAAAATCTCACACGACTTTCATCTAACTTAAAGCAAGGAGAGAAATCTCAAATCACTTGACATCTAATTTTAAGTCATAAGAAAAGAGCTAATAATGAGCAATGACATCTACGATTCCTACTGATTCAGTGGTCCTCCCTTTTCCTATTCACCATTGATTCGTCAACTGCTATTTCATAGATGTCGTACGAAGGGATAATGCGGGCAAATTTATAAATCCACATTGATGGTTTTCATTGAATCTAAATTCAAAGATTTAAGGAGACTAAGGACCCAAAACTATACTATCCAAAAAGTTGGGGATCCCATCCCTAATATACTATAAATATATTTCACTCCACAGACAGACGAGTGAAGACCTGGTTAGAGAGAGAGGCAAATGAATTCATGAAGAGGAGGTTTATCAACCATTGACTGACTGGATCCACAGGCGAATAGTCAACAACTATAAGCTATGGATCCAGTTAATGACTGATAAACCTCTCCACTTCATAAATTCATTGGCACCTCTCTCTCTCTCTCTCTCTCTCTCCCAATGTATTAATCATTTTATGGGTTTAATCCCAAATACAGTTTTCTTCAATCTGAAGCCTTATTTGTGAATGATATATCTTCTGCTGTTTCTGGATTTTGACTGGTGAACGAAAATGGCTGTAAGTTCATGACTTTCTCTTTCATTTTTACCAATTTCAAATGGATGCTAATGACTGGTTATCTGTTTTATGCTTCAAAATTTTCTTGCTCCCAAGCCTTAAACTGACAATAATTTGATTGTTTATATATATATTTTTTATGATAGTTTAATCTTTTACTAATCTCCTTTTCTATGGAGATACTGACGGTTGTTTTAACTTTTACAATTTTACCGATTCTTTATAGCAAGGCAGTTATTTCTTGGGCTGTAGGTTACTGTAAAATTATACCAGTCTAACTGCATGTACAATGTTTAGAGGGCTGTAAATTTTACAGTCATTACTAATTAGTGTGGGCTCCACAAAATAATTAAGATAAAGTCACTTTTTTTTTTCAAGATAAACGATTGATTTTGATCATCAGAAGAAATTTGCATTTTAAGAGCACCACATGCCTAGACAAATGGTCGCAAACAAATTATATGCAACCGCATAATTTTTTGTTTCTAAATTTTTTATCTAGAAAAAGTTACTCATTTTAACATCAAATATAAGTTACTTTTTTTTTTTTTTTTTTTTTTACTTATCATTAAGTTTGACTAGAGAAAAAAGTTATTGATCTGGCCACTCAAGCACTGGCCATTTTACACTTGGTGAAGTGAATTTCTTTTCTGGATTTCTTGCTTAAGACATGAAAAATAAATACCGTTATTAAAATTTTTTAACTATTTGCTTTTCGAACAGATAATTTGACAAATTTTTTTGAGCCAATAATGATCGAATGATGTGTATCTTAACAAAAAAGAGCCGGCTTGCTAAGGTCCAAGCCAAAAGCTCGAGCTTTCGCTCGGCTCGGGCCAAAAAGCCCGAACCATTTTTGCTCGAGCTCTCCAAGTTTCGGCTTGTGGACACTCCTAGGTGAAATATTTTGACTTATGAATCTAGGTTCCCATGTCATCAAAACTATTGATTTTAATGATAAACCTGCATGCGACTTTTCACATGTGATGTGACCAAGGGCGGAGCTAGACATTTGAAGTAGGGGGGTCCAAAAGTTGAAGGGGTCGGGGCCCACGGGGGTTTCGGGGGGCAGCGCCCCAGATTTTTTTTTTTTTGAAACGTTATCTCTTAAAATGATGGAAGTTGGTACTTTATGATGGAGAAAGAAAACAAAGGAATATAAATTAATGTACATTATTAACAAAAAAAATAAAGAAACGTATGAAAGAAAGTACTAATATTTAATTTAGCAAAATCATACATTATTACAAGCGTTCCTTTTGAGTTCTCATACTTTGATAACGTTGTATAACTACATCATCATCAATCATGTCGAATACATCCTTCTCAATATACACAATCAATCTATCATTTAACCATTTATCATTCATTGGATTGCGCAATCGATTCTTGACATAATTCATTACAGAAAATACTATTTCTACCATAGTAATAGCAACTGGAAGAATTAATGTCAATGTCAAAAGCTTGTATACTAAAGGGTATACTTCATGTTTCTTTGTCACAACCAGCTTTTGTGCAAGTTCACCAAGGCTTTGTAATCCTCTAAATTCTTTATTAATGCGCATATCAATTATGTATGTGTCAATTCGATCATCAAGTCCCATCACGGCTGATCTTTGAAAATCTTTCGGATAAAATGTACACATGTGAATTAATTTGCTCTTGTCAAAAGCTGCAAATGAATTATCTAGACACAAACACGCTACACAAAGAAGCAAGTCGCTATTCACCTCAGAAAATCGATTATTCAACTCTTGAAGTTGCATATCAACGACAGAATAAAATAAATCCACACGAAAGTGATGCAAATTTGTCACAGTGATACATCGCGAACGACCCAGAGGTGTATACATATCACCCATGTTAGAGACGATAATGCCGTGCTTTTCACAAAAGGAACTAACCAGTACCAAAAAAGAATCCCAATCTTCATCTCTGAACTTTTGGAGCTGTTGTTTACATATTTTTACCAAATACACGGCATTAGCAATATCTAGATTTTTCTTTTGTAATGTCTTCGACAACTCATTTGAAATTCCTAATATCCTCTTCATTAGATGTAGGCCAAATGCAAACTCAAATGTACGAATTGATGCCAACAAAACCCGCGCTTCACCTTTTTTCCCATAATTTGTATTATCGGTAGCAATTATCTCAATAACATCAATTGTACTTGAAACATGAGCATCAGGTTACATAAACATTTGTAGTGCGAGCCCCAACGTGTATCATCAGAACGCTTGATATTCGTTTCTTGATTAAGGCCTCGACCACTTGATATTTCACCGGCATTTAGTGCTTCACAAATTTTGAGTCTTTGCATCTCGCGAATAAGATCACACCTCTTAGCCTATCCTCCAACAACATTCACCAAACTATCAGCCAAATAAAAGAAAGATTGGATATCACCATGTTTTTTTGCAACTGCTAAAAGAGTTAGTTGAAGTTGATGAGCAAAGCAATGAATGTAGTATGCACTTGGGTTTTCTTTCAAGATAAGTGTTTTGAGAGCATTATACCCACCCCGCATATTACTAGCTCCATCATAACCTTGACCTCTCAAATTAGACATGCTTAAGCCATATCT